CGGGGTTACATGAGCACAGTAAATACGTATTTAGCCGCTAATTCGAATTAGGAACGCCTTACCGACTCATGTAGCCACCTGCTAGTGCGAATCGGCGATCCGATCCGCGGTTACATGAGCAAAGCAAATACGTATCACGATCGGATTCACCGCTAATGCGAATCAGGAGCGTACTATCGACTCATGTATCCACCTGCTAATACGAATCGGCGGTCCGAACAAAATCCGCTGAGAAAGAGGCTTAGAAGCGAATAGGACCAAGATACGTATTACAGGAACTATTTCTTCGCAAAAAGAAACATTAAAATGCAAAATAATAGGTATTTTTTCATTTTCTTCTTTTGAAATAATATTTAAAAAAATATGTCGGTATTTTGCCAAGTTTTCAACAATAAATATAGTGAAAACCAAATAGTAAATATCCACATAATTTCAGTTGAAACATTTTCTGACAGCACTACAGACGAATCAAGAGAGGCAATTGCCCAATGAGTCAAAGCAAGACAACTTTATGTTCAACTTTTTTTTTGTTAAGTTAATTGAGAATGTTTTGAGCAGATTAAATGCAAAAAAGACATAAGATAATAAACTTTTAATTTAGTCACCTCTATTGCTACGGAAGTGCGCCACATTTGTATGCTATTCCGTTTGTAATGCGCATCGGGCCGAGAGCCAAACTAGATCCGTTTGACGTCACTGATACGAATTTGCTCATGTAGTCGGTGCACTGAATGCGTTCTTGGGGAGCTGATGCGAATTAGCTTAGTGCGTATTTGGAACGGATCGCTCATGTAACCGAAACGTCCGAGGCACACGATTCGGGCCGTATTTCACAAGAACTATTCTTTGCTGACTGGAAGCGTCAAAATGCAAAATACTTAACAATTTTTTTATTGGCTGCCTCGTAGAAAATAGCAAAAAAATGTTGGTATTTTGGTTTAGTCTTTGCATGTGAAATAAAATGAATGAAATATTTTGATAGATAATTTTTTCTGACCACCCTGCTGTCGCTGCATGGCGAATCAGTGCCCACTGACTTAAAACAAGAAAACTTTGTTTTCATTTTTTGATTTCATGTTAATTTTAAATGTTTTTGAGCCTATCAAATGATATAAGTATTTAAAATTTAGCTCAGTCGTCCCGGTAAATGCCGCAACTGCGCCATGACTGTACGCTAATCCTATTCCGTTTGTGATGCGAATTACCGGCCGTCGAGGAGTCAGCCCGGGTGAGCCAAACAAGATCCGTTTGACGTAGATAAAACGAATTAGTCTCATGTAACCGGTGCCGTAGATCCGTTTGTGGGGAGCTGATGCGCATTAGCGTAGTGCGTATTTGGAACGGATCGCTCATGTAACCCCGGTAAATAAATGACTCGTGGCCTGTAAAGTCGTCAATTCTAGTTGGTTGACCATCGTTCAACACGCACAAAGTATTCAAGTTGATCACATCCATCCAGATATTGCCTCGAGTGTCATTTATTTGGCTACCCCACATCATATGTTTGCTGTTGGCATCCGTGCAAATGACAAAGGGCTTAGGAAGCTCTTTGATCAACTGGTCCATCTCAGTAAAAGAGAAGGTCTCATTCGGTGGAAGATACAATGAACAGATCGCAATTCGTCTGTTTTGGACCCTTATCGAACATACCACTGCCTGTAATGTAGTGTGTACCTGTACCTGGAAGTGTGACAAGTTGTTAGACACATATATAGACACTCCTCCACCCCGTCCTCCTTGACGTGAGTATTCATGATACGCAGAAAATCCAGGTAATCGGAAAGTATACCTGTCATTCATCATGAAATGAGTCTCTTGAATACATATGAGGCTGAAGTTACCATGCATGAACATGGGTTTTGCCTCGGCCCATTTGCCAATGAGCCCTCGTGCATTCCATTGTAGGATGCTAAGACCCATTGAAAAAACTAAAGGTGTAACTTATCATCAAATAAATACATACCACTTCAAACCAAAGCTTCCACAATGGGAACATATATGCATTGTGCACACTATCTGTGTGATGTATGTAACATTCAGTGCAATGTGCACTGTCAACCAAGACACAATTCAACACTAAAAACTTGTTGATGCTCTGCACTATATACAGCCTTTCTACTGCCTGGCCTTCTACTAGGTGGGTGGGGTGCCCATCCTAGTGAGACTGGGCATTCGTTTCTTCGTCCTCTGTTCAGTGAGGGGTTCCTGTTTTCCTCTAGTCTCTTCTTGAGACGATGGATGCATTTGGGATGTTGGATGTTTGCCTTTTCCTCCACCTCTATTCCTATCTCTACTATGACGGTCCACTTTGGTCCAGTGTACTCCCTTTTTGCCAATCTCTTGGCTTTCCCCATCCTCCATGTCATCAGAGGTGTCAGTCTCTACATCGACCTGGGCATTTTGACAACTCCCATTTCCACTACCTGGAGTAGGATTGTCCTCAGCCATGCTGTCTCCCACCTCACGTGGTAGTTGTGCAGGGGTTGGGACACAGTCTCTCAGTTCAGGTTCTCGGTTTGGGATCTGGAGTGTCTCATCAGAGGTGTTAACCCCTGCCTGACTCACCAGTTTGTTGAGAAGGGACAGCATCTTATCCACCTTTGTTTCCAGTACATCAACCCGCTCCCTCAGAGAAGTATCCAGGTGGTTCTGTTGCTGTGTGGTCGGTGATGTCTGAAGTATAGTGGAATATGCCGGTGTTGTGGGTCTTTGGTGCTTTTTCTCATACTCCCTCCGAGCATGAGCGTATGAAATATCCTGTGTTACTTTGATTTCACACACCTCCTTTTCCTTTCTCCAGACTGGGCAGTCGTGGGAGTAACAAGGATGTCTGTCATCAGAAGTACAGTTAATGCATTTGGGGGAGCAGTCCCCTTCATGTTTCTCACCCCCACACTTCAGACATAAGGCAACACTTTTGCACTTGGCTTGAACATGACCATATTTGCCACACTGATTGCAGAGCAGAGGGTTAGGAATGTACCTTCGCACCTCATAGGACACATAATCAAAATGTAGTTGTGTTGGGCACGTTGGCTTGTCAAATGTCAAGATGAGCAGAGGGGTGTTTTCCCTGTGGGTTCCCACCCTCCTTGTCACCCGTTTCGCTCCAACCACTCCAAACTCCTGGAGCCATCCCACTACCTCCTGTTCGGTAAGTTCAGTCAGGTCAAAGGCATAGATAGTGCCTTTGCTCGTGTTAAGTTTCTCTGCTTTCTGAACACTGCACTCCTCACTTCCGAACATTGTCGCTTTCAGCAGTCTGTCAGATTGCCTTTCATTTTTTGTTTTCAGCAACAGACTCCCATCATTCTGAAATGTCGCCTTTGATACTCGGTCTTGTCCTCCTAAGATGCCCCTAATGCAAGTCTGAACCCAAGGCCAGCCTTTACCCTTGATCGGACTCCCTGACTTCAGGGTGACACTCAGGTATAACCCCGAGTCCTCATCACCCCAAAAGGTCTCTCTCATGTTATCTACTCTAGACCTCTTTGTAGCTCTGGGTGTCCCCATCATTTACACACCAGCCTACACTTCCGCAATGGATCCCAATCACTCATTGAGGCGATTGTGACTCACCACGTGGCCGAGCTTCTACCCGACAATTAATCAAAACGAAATGGAAGAAAAAGAAAAATGGATGCTTCTCCAAAAGAATTGAATAAACAAAAACAAATTGGACTTAAAAAGTCCTCTTCCTTCTTCCCGGCCTCGCCGATCACAATCAAGAGCTTTCCGATCACACGTCCTTCCGCTCCCGTAACTGCGAACGATCTGAAAAAAAAAAAAAGATCCTCTTCTTACACCTCGAACCCTGAGGGAAGCTGAAGGGGAAAAGTAAAAACAAACGTAGAGCGAATAACTAGCATACATTTAGTATACTGATACAGCACAGCATTTACCTACTTCACATTATATTTAGGACCTATTTATTTATAATGAAACGATTATGATCACCCAAAAACCAATCAAAATAATTTAACCCAAAAATTAACAGAATTATGCAAGGAATTATGCACGGGTGCAAAATCACATGGCGATTCTGCTTCGATTCTGCTGTAAAAGGGCCTAGACTAATGATCACGTGACTTTACAATCAGCCAGCTTTTTTCGTCAATTTTTATTTCAAAAAATTACATTTACTTATTCTGATAAGATATTTTATGTTTTTTGAACTATTATATGATACTTGAATCAATTTTATAAATTGATTCGTAGAAAAAGCAATGAAATCCGAATCAAAAGTCAGCACACTTTTAAACGCAGTTCACACATGACCGTCAGTCTGTCGGTGTCGGGCCCGTCACCGTCGACCTGACGGCCTGCAGCCCGTCAAACGAAAGTTGAGATTTGGTAGCTCCCATTGGCTGCCATATGTTGTTACAGAAATGGCGCACCATTTTCGAGATGGACGCAGATGGGGGAAGGGGAGGGGGGAGAATAGAGGCCGAGAAGTTAGAAATATTCTTTTAATTACAGAAATAAAATACCACGCTTTTACATTTTTATGTCAAATAATGCTGCAATTTTATTTTAATGAAAGACACATCGGTTCGCTGACTTAAATCAGGGATCGAATCTCAAGATATCGTGCCGTAATAAACACTTTCATCTCAACAAATGGATAGAAAATGATATAAGTTATCTTAAAAATGCATTTAAGCTTCATGCTGCATGATAACGTTCCTTTTCCTCTTCCTCCAACACGCAGATATTCAAACCGACGGGCCCGTCACCGTCAAAAGTTGAACATTGCTGAACTTTCCAAAGCGACGGCCGTCAGGTCCGGCGCCGGCGCAGTCAGCTGTTGCCGGCCGTCAAACGCTGCCGGTTCACACATGCCCGTCGACCTGACGGCCGTCGCTCCGTCGGTTTCGGCCGTTTTGACGGTGTCGGGCCCGTCACCGGCAGACCTTACGGGCAAGTGTGAACTGCGTTTTACACATGGGCCAGACAGTTATGCCTGGTTATGCCTCTTCTGCGCCGCAATCGTCTACCCCGTCTACAATAATGGCCTACACCAGTGGGCATTATTTCATTTTTTGTGCTACATTGGCGTTACAGTCATACAGTCATTATATCTTTAATACAATTTTGCGTGACAATTTTGTCAAAAGGTATTTAGCACATAATCTTGTGAATGAAAGCAATATCATTATCTGTACATTATCTGATTATGGCCTAGACAGCATGCTGAATGGATGTCTATAGAAGAGTTCATAGATAATTTTTTCATATTTTTCACTATTTTACATCCTGAATCCAAAAATGATACTCATATGTCTCGCAAATAAAAGAATAAAACATAATCAAACCTGACCTAACCTTACCTACTTACCTATAACCTACCAACCTACAACCTACAAACCTACCCTAACCTAACCTAACCTACAGACCTACCTACCTACAACCTAAAACCTACAAACCTACAACCTAACCTAACCTAAAACCTAAAATTTTTGCTGTTTCATATTCGTATCAACAGCGTCACAATTGTAGTTAGGACCTAAACTTGACATATACCATGCCTACTTTGACTTGTGATAGCCGATAGGCGATAGGTACCAATATATTTTATTCACAGCTCTTAGTAAGTGAAATAATGGAATATGTTATTCCGTAATATCAGCAATATATCATTCACCCCTGTGGGCTTTGAAAATTTTATATTGTAGTTTACTTTTGATCAGTAGGTCATCTGCTATTATGAATTATCTTTGCATGAATGACAGTCTATTTAGAGCTTTAACAGTTTTTAGAGCATAAAATTCAATGAATATTTATGCTATACATAGATTCTGCTTGCCAGCATTGGAAGTTAGAGGTATGACAGATTAGGTATGATGTCAACATCCATGACCCTGCTTCCAGTGTGAGCATCTGCATGGATCTACTTGGACTTGGACTGCCTTGAGTTGTCTATGACATTACCACATAGCGACTTTGACTATAAACATCAGGTGTGAATTTCACAGCATTTTTGGCCAAGCTATAAGTGGGCTGCTGGCATGAGTTCGCCTCTTGGTTCACCTGGTGCTGCCGCCTGGCGGCTAGAAGCCGAAGCTGTAGTCGCCGACATCGCGCCGCATGTGGCATTCGCGGCACCCTCTTCTCTTCCCGGCGACTCGTCGGGAACTTACCTCAACATCACCACACTAGAAGGCCGTCAGATGACTGTACGTGTCTCCGCGGGAGGCTTCTCCATCTGCGGTGACGGACACGATTCCTGCGGCGGAACGAGCGAGGGAGACACCCCCCTCTCTTCTCAGGATGGAGGAGTGGACGGCAAGGTGTACGAGACGCCGTACGCGCTGCTGAATGACGTCAGTCCGGCTTACACTGCAGCGTTCAGCCGAGCGCTGGTGGAGAGACTAGGTCAGCTGGCGGAGAACGGGAGTGATGATGAAGAGAGAGAGGAAGAGCGCGGGAAAGAGCAGAATGACGGTGGGGAGAGGAGTGGTGAAGTGAAAGATGGAGGGATGAACAGTGCGAAGGAGGATGGACTCACGAATATGAACAGTTCAGAAACACCTTGATATTAAGTATTGCTAGCGACAAGGCTATGCTAGCGAAGTGTTACACGTGCTTTTGGTGATGCTAAGAGCAGTGAGCGGTTTGTAATTGTAACGCTGGTTATGGAAAAAGCGTTGTCTGCGTACTTCACGTCGGCTCATTGATGTGCTCAGACTTCGGGTGTTTCATTGCTATTAAAATAGCCTGCTGAAGAAGACCAAACGAAACAGTCTTACGTACTTGAGCGCTGCACTTGCATTTGCAGTCGCTTATTGGGGTGTCTTTCTGTTGGCATGATGCGGGCCGAGTTTTTATCTAGTCATCAGCGGCTCGACATTGACATCTTTTGTTGTGTAACAGGACCATCAGTCACGTTAATTTTCCACAGCATTGTAAATAAAACAAAGCACCTTACAGAGAGGATCTGTCGGCGCTGTAGATTTGTAATACATGAAGTGCCTAATGCATAGATCTGTAAGGTGTGTGCCTCTCATTAGTACATGTTTTTCAATTCCCGGTGCCACCTATGTAACCTGTTTCCGGTTTCGTTATATCAATCACTAGTGACGTTACCTGCGTGGCGGCAATAGGTACGCTTTAGGTTTCATACAATTAATACTATTTCAACTCTGCCGAGCACGCAGTTCAGCTCCACAGTACGTCCCAACCCGCGCCTCAAGGCCGTATAGAGACCGCGCCTGGCCGGCGATGCGTCGTTTGTTATTTATGCCGCTCCACTCTCACCACTCAGCGGCCGGCGCCAGGACACTCAGCGGCCGGAGCCGGCGCTCTCTGAACATCTCAACACACGCATACCCCTCTAGGAACACTTTTAGCCCGCTAAATGTCCACTAATGGTTTTGACGTGTTTCTTGGAACTCTCCGGCGCCGGACACCTTCAGCCACGAGACCAGCGCGTGACACTAGCTACCCACGTGGCACCTCACTTCTAGAAGTCTCCAGTACGTTCGAGATACTGTGACGTACTAACGACCAATCACAAGCACTCAATTCTTGTTTAAAAAGTCTTAAGCCAATAGTAAGCCGCCACGCAGAGTGAAGGGCCACCGCCCTACAGTAGGAACTGGGCCGAAGGGAGTCGAGCTCTACCTTGGCTCTACCCGCCCGAGAGGGAGTGAGCTCAGAAGACCCCCCGGCCGTCACCGAGACCGGACGTGTTCCACCTAACAGTCTGTAATCGTGTGACCAGTGAATGCTGGTTTCTCTGTGCCGAGAAACCAGCATCTGGCGAGGGCCAACACCTGCCCGCCGTGCCCCAGCCCTGGGCCCGAGAACAGCGGCGTGCTACACTGGTGCCGCTGACCGGGATCGAGCCTGCTGCCGTAGAAGCTGTCTTCTCTTCCATCTGCTTCTTCGTACAACTCTCTGCTGCCGAAACTACGATCAGCCAGTGGTATGCCATTCCACGAATTACTGGCCGGCCTCCGTATTCACCTAGACGTGCCTATCGACCCAAAGATATATTCAAGAGACTGCATCTGCTGGCGCCTACTGGAACCAGTCTCTACATTCAGGGCCAATCTTCACGACGTGCTGCCGCGCCACTGCGGATATCACAAAGCTTTCATCCAGACCAGAATCAACGCGCCTGTCTGCCGCGACTCGTGTGATTGCCAGGACAATAGTCAGCGCAATTTCTGCCCAGAGTGCGGATTTTGTCATCGCTGTGGCAGTGATCTGTGCACCGTCTCTACAAACAGGATCCATCCGTGCAGCTGCACGCTGTGCCTGGAGCGCTGCTGCCGCCTTGAAGACGCCAACCCGGACCAGTTCAAAACCACCCAGCTGAAGCACCTCCTGCTCCGCCGGCGCCAGCTGCCGCAGCGGAGGCGCTGCTACGGGCCCATACCGCGAGCCGAGTCGCAGAGCCTGGAGGAGCTGCCACCCCTCCGTGGTTTGACACCACTTCTAGAAGTCTCCAGTACGTTCGAGATACTGTGAAGTGTGACGTACTGACGACCAATCACAAGCGTTCGATTCTTGTTAAAAAAGTCTTAAGCCAATAGTAAGCCGCCACGCAGGGTAAAGGGCCACCGCCCTACAGTAGGAACTGGGCCGAGGGGAGTCGAGCTCTGCCCACCCGAGAGGGAGTGAGCTCGGAAGACCCCCGGCTGTCACCGAGACCGGACGTGTTCTACCTAGTATGTAATCGTGTCGTGTGACCAGTGAATACATCTGTGCCGAGAAACCAGCATCTCGCGAGGGTCAACAGTCAACACCTGCCCGCCGTGCCCCAGCCCTGGGCCCAAGAACAACGGCGTGCTACAGATCAAGCTAGCATGTGGGCGTGGGTATCTTTTTTGCTGCGTGAAGGTAATACGACCAGTAGTCTAGGCATTCTTTATTCGAAAGAGAAGATTTGTATGATCGAAAATCTTGTTCCAGCGCTGACTGAAGCTTGCTAAATTGACGCCCTATCTCGAAATCCTTTGAAGCCTGACGCGAATTTGAGCCCAACTGACACATTTTCCCGCCTAGCGCCTTTGGAGAAAAAGTCGTCCGATCCTTCGTCGCATTACTCTGTTTCGCGTGAACGAAGACAGCGCGTTTCTGCTGACAGGGTACATTTTCTGGCACGTCTGACGGTCTCGGTGTGGTGCGGGGCGCCAACTTGGCATCGTGGGGGCGGACAACGCCTCGGGCGGGACACGGGAGGGGGATTGCATGGGGGGGGGGCAGGGTATTAGCGGGAAGTACGGCCGCACGGCAGTTGATACGGAACACGACCGGACATAGGGATTCACTTGGTGGGTGATATTGCGGAAAACAGATGGTTTGATTCATTCAGGAATGTTTTTACAGTGGTATGATGAATAAAGCAGCGGTTCAGTTCAGCATGAATACCCATCCACTGACTGGGTATTAGCTCATAACGTCCGAAATAGGCATCCATTTGAAGCAAAAGTTTGTCGTTAAAAGCTAGAGATCAACGTTCAGAATGTGTTTAGAAAATGGCATTCTCGTTTCCGTCTCATTGGTCAATTTTCTACGAACCCAGACACCCAGACATTATCGATGCCTCTTTACGCCAGCTTCGAACCCCGCTGCCCCAATCAAACCATGTGCCCTCCCCTCCCCTCCCCTCTTTCCTCCGCTCTGACCCTCCGATTCCCTCACCTTCCATGTCTCACACCTGTATCTTTCCGTCTGTTCCAGCTCTTCCTCACGCCGATGTCATCCGTCAACATTCGGCGCATCCTCTCCGTAAACTCCACGTCTTCATCGCCCGCCGTCGGTTTGACGACCCCCGGTCGTCGGTTTGAGAGCCACTGGCGACTCTGCGTACAATCGATGCGTCGTAGCCGACGACCGCTCGGGGCGGTGCGACGTTTGGTCGTCAGTAGTGGTGGAGCCGTGGAGAGGGCGACTACGCTCGACACAGCGCCTTGCACAAAGGTACGACTGTGCGGGCGGACGGAGGAGCTTCCTGAGTCAGGTGAGGTTACGTCAAAGGTGCGAGGGTTAGAAATCGCTGGGTTGGTTATGTGATGTGTGTTATGGTGGGGCACAGTGGGTGAGGTGGTGCGTATTGATTCGGTGATTGAAGTGCCACTTGATGCTCCCGGCGAATGCTGGGTCAGAGCTTCGGTCTCTGATGGCGATAACGCAGTCAGCTGGGATTTGATGGTGCGCGATGCGCGTGGAAAACTGTTGCATGTTTTCTGAGGGTATAACTGGGATGTGGGATTTGTATGTTTCAGTTAGGCATTGCATCTATCACCTTACTGCTACATGACTGCCCAGCTGCGTCTCAGCACGCACTTCTGTGAACATATAGTCTGAAGCAATTACCGGTAACAAGCAATTTACGCAGTCATTGATTAAATACAATTCTGTAACAATCAGATTGTACCTGAGATTATAATCTCAGGTAAGATATTAAAATTTTGAATAAAATCTCATAAAACAATGAATGAACACCCAGTATGTCCGTGCCTTCTGTAGTGCGAAAAATAATTACCGAAAACTGAGCGTCATACCGATGCCCCTGGCCCGTCATAATGCTAAGCCCGAGGGAAAAGAAATGCCCTTGTATCGATTTTTACGTGCATACGGGTACGTTGACGACGTCGGTGATATAGGACACAGCCCCAAGATCCCGACTCGAATGACGTCGGAGTTCCTGTTATTGATGGAGACGGCTTATTGCTGCTAGCGATAACGGTTCACCGGCCAATAATCAGCCTCGTCTGCGGTCCGCGGCGACGCGCAAAGGTCGCTGCTGCGGTCCTGTTTGATTAGTGGTAGCTGTAGGTATATGGGACCGGTGCGTCTTACCGGACTGTGTCCCAAGACCGAGCCGTTTTTTAGCGTCAGAAGACGAGAGGCAAGAGGATCTCCAGTCTCCACTCTCCCCTACAGAGCACTAGAAGGAATGACACATCTTCATTCATCCTCATCCTTGATGCGTTTTTTTTTTTTAAAGAGTTCAGGACCAGGGCACTAAGTCTTGATCTCTTCCATATCATCGACGACTAAATCCCTTTAGATGGAAATTAGCATGCCCTTTGTGATCTGTTTTGACGCCGTGTTTTATTAGCAAACTGCCACTTGGCCAGTTAGCTGTTTTTTCCGGCTTTTTATTAGCGGAAGAGGCCGAGAAAAGCCCGCAAGTAACTTCCACATATGGGAAAACTGGCAGCATGCTGATAAAAAGCGACACCGAACAGCAGCGCTCCGGATAGCCACCGTTCTTTCAGCCCGCCGGAAGCTTCCCTTCCACTTTAATCTCCAATCCGATTCAATCTTAATTACTTTCACCTCCACCTCCTGGGTCTAATCCCACACTTCGCTGCAGCGAACCGCTTCTCTCTCTCTCTCTCTCTCTCTCTCTCTCTCTCTCTCTCTCTCTCTCTCTCTCTCTCTCTCTCTCTCTCTCTCTCTCTCTCTCTCTCTCTCTCTCTCTCTCTCTCTCTCTCTCTCTCTCTCTCTCTCTCTCTCGCTCTCTCTCGCTCTCTCTCTCTCTCGCTCTCTCTCGCTCTCTCTCTCTCTCTCTCTCTCTCTCTCTCTCTCTCTCTCTCTCTCTCTCTCTCTCTCTCTCTCTCTCTCTCTCTCTCTCTCTCTCTCTCTCTCTCTCTCTCTCTCTCTCTCTCCCCCCTCCTTTCCCCCGGATCAGTCGCTTCATCGGCTTTCTTCTCGTGTCGCCCTTGAACTCGGGCCAAGCTGGGCATTAGCCACGAGCTTTGTGTCGCCTCGCACCTGGGAAGTGTTGTTTTGGAGTCTTGTGTCGTGTTAAGTCTCAGAGAAAGAGAAAGGCAAGGTTGACCTCTCAAATTATGGTGTTTGGGGGTGCGGTCACCTGTATGTGGTGTCCTGTTTCTCTAGTAACATAACGGGCGAGTATAGCTTTGCTGTGTTGTGTACATACATATATTCGTCCAAGATATCAGACTCCCGCGCCAGCTTGCTTCTTCATCCATTGATTCCTAGCTTTCTAGTGATACCCATTCCATGCACAATTCGGACAAACTTTTTATCATTTTGACGCCAAAATTCACTCCTTGCCCTCCCTCCATTCCTTACTTCCTCCGACTTCCCCGTATTTTCTCTATCTCCTGGCCTTGGTCGCTGATTTTTACGCGCCTCGCTGGCCGCTGCCGATCCATTACCCAAACTACAGCATCGATCGCCCTTCGGTATCGCCTCTGCATCTTGCCGCCCGCGCCACGGCATCTCGCCTCCTTTGTTTACGTCCTCACACGAAGCCAGAGCGGATCCCTTCACTACTTTCCCGGGTGGCAGAGTTTTTTATGTGTCGGCAAAGTGCCAGCTGCTTGGAGTGCTGGCATCGAAACGCTCACTTCCGAAATGTTTGCGCTTTTGAGGATCATGTTCTGCGATTTTGCTGATCTAGATATTGGCGACGAGATGGGTCAACTTTGACGGGATCATGATGGGGATCGTGATCGATATAAAATGCGGTTTAGATGTGGCGATGAAAGGGGTCACTGCTCACCTACGGCGCCTTTGTCGTAGCTTCGTAGTTCCGGTACTGGCTCTTCTTTCCACCGGTCTAATAATCAGTTATCTAAGACGTCTTTACAGGTCATCATACATTTTGTCAGTCACTTATCAATCCACCGTGGCAAAACGAGGAGAGGAGCATCTAATGAGATGACACTAATGACAGCGTTGAATCAAAGCAGAGCCAGGTGGTGATTTTGTCACCTAGCCACTTCTCGGGAGATCAATGTCATTTATCATATTTTATCTTCCCTGTCCATCCAGTCATTAGTTCAACATAATTCGTCAAACCTATCTCAGCGTTCGGCGTTGAGGTAGGTTTGACTCGGGGGCCCGTCGAGCGAAGGTATCGATTCCAGTTTCATCGGCGCCAAACCGGCAGTTTGCCGGGTAGACAACAGTCATGCCCCTCTGTGAGTCATGCTATGACATCAATGCTACCCGGTGATATTATTGACGATCAATATAACGTAGGGGACGGTGAAGGGCGCCACAAAGTCGATTGGTTGTGCTTCTGTGAATAAGTTGATGACTTAGTCACTACACAAAACAGAAGTACGGGTTCTATTCAGGCCCACAGTGTAAATGTAAACAGATGTTTTCAGGGGCTATTTTCATGACGCAATGTCGCTTGGTGTCGTCATGTTTGCGGTTTTGTGTTGACGAGTTGTAGTGATATATGGCGATTAATAACCACCCTCGACGGGATGATAGCATGGTCCTTCGCAGCCATACCACTTATCTATGATTAAATTTTTGCTTCCATTGTTGATTTGTGTTTGTTAATGACCGATACAGAAGGTTTAATTTTCACTGACATTTTGCCCCAACTCGATGCTAGTGTGATTTGCCTTCTGCATCCATCCTAGAATGGTGCTAAAAGTCGGTGCTTTTATTTACGTATGTAGTAAATGATTGAGAGATGGTTTCCATTGCCTCGTTTGTGTATGTTCATCTGTGTTATTAGACATGTTAAACATGCGACCTCGTTCTTGCTGTCTTCTATGACTTTATGTTCCAGACAGTATCGCAGTCGGAAACATTTTCCCTGAACTATCAGCACCCACAATCTTGTTTGAGTTTTGTTCATGACGCGGCATCCCGATCTTATTCTTCCCAGAATAACTTTCTTGCCGGGATAACGCGTTCTGAGATGAATCATTACCTTCGTTCATGTCATTTCAATGTTTGCTTTATCGGCGGTTTGTTCTTTTACACGCTCGAAATACGCCCTGGGACGGAAAAGCAGCTTCGAGGAGCACACCATCGCCTCGGTTCGGAATCGGCTCTTACAATGACGGGTGGCATCTGGAGCGCACAATGATCTGCCGACCGATCGGCCGGCCAGTGTGGCCCAGTAAAACCCTCCCCAAACGGCCGAGGGAAGCCAGAATGGGAACAAATCTGACGACTGGCAGACATTTCATGGAGAGCGTCGCAGTTACGACTGGGATAAATCTCGGGTTTGTCTCTGCATGGGAATGGCTGTGACGCGTATCGTCACAGACTGTCACCACGGCTTAATGCGTAAAATTATTTTTTGAGTGGCCTAGTGCGTAGATATTACGAAGGATAAAGCAAAGTTGGACGTGTTTTAGCCGACTTATTGGCATTTCGGACGCGTTTTCATGTCAGATGTGACGGGGTTTTGGGAAAAATAAATGCTACTGAAGCGACGTTAATGTAGCCTATGATGCTCAATGTAGAAAAGCTGACATTCAAGTGATCTTATAAAGATGATTATGCAATATGCATGCTCCTCTGTTTTAGAGTTTCCAGTCAGCTCTCTGATGGACATACGACTTGGCTGTGTCCATAATGATCAGCCTTCTGTAAGCGAATTTCGAGCTGGGCAATTCTACTCTGTCGGCTGTATCTTATATTACGAATTATGTATCGAGTTTTGTCCTTATATATCCAATTGACATACATCAGCTGAAGCATTTTATAACATCTTCATTCGACTTGCCGTTGTATTATTCAAAATGGCTCTTTTTTTGTTTTATAAATCAGATGTCATCCGACATGATTCAAAATCAACATGGGCTCATCGCTGACCGAACGTTCATTTTGTATGCTTGAGGGCTGAAGCATTGTGTAACTCTCCTGGCTGACTGTCAGGAAAAATAAAGTAAGCCATTTACGTGCATCGGGCATTAAGTTTTTTATAGCAGTTATAGGTATCCAGTAAATAACAGAATTGACCTGAGAAACTTAGCAGAGTTTGTCACAACTAAGGCGCTAAGATGTATAACGGCTACATCTCTTGCCTGGGCCATCTCTTTCAAATCACCCAACATATTTCTTCAGCTATTTTATATAAAGTGACAAAACTGACCCCGCCCTTTCAATCTTTGAGGCGCGTCGCTGCTAAATAACTAGTCGTAACCTCTGCACTTGCCTGTTTTCTTTAGCGAACTTTGTGCAAGAGT